GGTCTTTGAGTGCCAGGTTAAGGCCTTTACACTTTATTCTATTGGCAACTGAGATATATTGTAGATTTTGAACCAGGGAATCAAAAGAATATGGGCTACGTTTTAGACAGATCCATATTTTGATCGTGTGCTGGATAAATAACAGTCATGTTGTAGATTTTTTGTTACAGTGAGGCAATATATTGCTGTTTAAACAGGAATAAGAATTTAATTTGTGGTGTAGGTAAAACTGTAGTAAGATCATGGTTTTCTATTGAAAGCTTTTATTAGATCTGAAAATTTAGATACTTTTTTTTCTTAATTGTTTAAAAGTTGACTGTGAGACTGTGTAAGTAGGTTACTGCCATTATTAGAACTGTTATAAAAGATGGTTATTTTAAGCAAATAGAACAATCACCTGTAAAGTGTATGCCCTCAACAGATGAAAGGCCCAAAGAAAAGGATTTAGAATTTATGTACTTTATTACTTAAGTATTTTCTATTGAGAGAGCATCAGTTCAAAGCTTAAGGAAAAATAAAAATGACACAGTTCAGTTCATATGGTTGGTTTTTTATAAACTTATAAGTTTGGAATAATGTAGTGTAATGTGGCAGTACCCCTAATTTGTTTCCTAAGCTCAGGCAAGGAACAGATTCTTGGTGCATCAAATTTCCCATCTATTGGACTATTTATTGCATCTCATATGATGATTCTGAAAGTCTTTTCAAATGGTTATTTTCTAATCACATAACCAGACATTGGATAAAGGTTAGTTTTCATTTATGTATTAGCTTCTTTAACCTTTGTAAAATACCTAAGTTTTATTTTCTGTTGGTTAACACAGTAATGAAAAAATGGTTTCATAACATTTGGAACAAATATAAATACTTTAAGTGTAGTAAAGTTTGTATTATAAATATGTTTTTAAATGGTTTAACACTAACTAGTCTAGTTACTTGCACTTGAAAAACAGTTGCAAAATAATTGCTCTTCCTACATTATGTGAATAAATTAGAAATGTTTGTAAACTACGTGGCTTCGATCTTCTTAGCCCAAGTGTCCATCAGTAGATGAGTGGATAAAAAAGCTGTGGTGCATTTGTACTATGGAGTGCTACATGGCTGTAAAAAAGAAGGAACTTTTGCCTTTTGTGAAAGAATGAATGGACCTGGAGATTATTAAGCTAAGTGAAATTAGCCAGTTAGAGAAAAAAAAAAAATCATATGATCTCACTTACATGTGGAATCTAATAAACAAATAACTGGTGAACAAAATACAACCAGAGACATAGATACATGGAGCAGACTGACAGATGTCAGGGGGTCAAGGTAGGGGGAGGATTAGATGAAAGAAGGTGAAGAGATAAGCCAAAGAACTTATATGTATAGCCCATGGGCACAGACAACAGTGTGGTGATGGCAAGAGCTGGAGTGGGGGTGGGGTAGGGGTAGTGGTGCATGGGCTGGTTGGAGATGGGCAAAGGAAGGGGGCAGATAGGAGACATCTGTAGTAGTGTCGACAATAAAAATAAAAAAACAACAACCACACATTAAAATAAGATAACATATTTTATGTTCAGGAAGAAAGTATCTATTCATTTATTCAACAAATATTTTAGCATCCATCATGAACAAGACATTGTTTTAGACACTGGGGACAGCTAGAAGTGGAACAGACAGTAATTGTGGGCCTCACTCTGCTTTCAGAATGAAAGTGCTTGCTTAACTCTCCTCAATTGTACTTTAATATTTTAAAAATAAAAGTTTGGGCAGTTGTGACAGAACAGTATGTGGCCAAATGTATATTTTCCAGTCCACCTGCACGAGTCCACAGAGCTGTTGATGAGTTCTAGTTGCTTATGGAATCTGATACTTTTGGTTCCATCTCTGCATATATGGTATAGCCTAACTGAACGGATCAATTCTATATATGTAATTTGGCGTAATTTTTTCTTTTAAAACATTTGATTTACTTCATTAATCAACATGTTTTATAAAAATGTTTTGAGTATCTAAAAGGAAGAGGCTTTATTTTACCATTTGTGTTGACTTTGGTTCAGAGCATAAAGTTTAATAAAGATATGGCAATTTCCCTCTTGATTTAAGCAATGTGGATAGCCAAATTGGATAAATAAACTGAAATTTCTCAGTGGAACTTAAATGATCTTACTGAACCCATGAATTAAATGTAAGAATGCAAGAAATGTCATACTAGAGTAAATCAACTATCCATAGAACACAGTAGTTTACGGAAAAGTATGGTAGTCATCTACCATGACATTGATCTAAATTGAACATCTGTTAGTGATACATTATATATCAATTTCCACAAATCAATTTTCTTCAAAGACCTTCTTTGATCCCATTTCTATTTTAAGTAAGTAATATCTCTTCCTTAATGAGTTTTTACCTCTTGTGTATACTTCACTTCCATATTTCAATGACTGTGTAAACTTTACTTTTCAACATACCCTGTAGAGTACACTAATATTTGGAGTATGTATTTAGCTTATCCATTTCTTTCTTCTTTTTAAAAATCATATTCCCAATCACGTTTGATCTTTTTCAGTTGAAGAGTATGAATTTTCAACTGATTTTATGTGGAAAACTTTACATCCTTTTGCTCATTTATAATCTAGACTAGTTTCTCTATGATGTCCTTTATGATGACCAGCAATGAGAGCTGTGCACACATTTCTAAGGAGAGGGATCACAATTTTGGTCACAGGTAATATTTGTTTTATTACCGTATAATTATGATGAGCATTTTGTTGACCTCATTGTGATGGCAGCACATTTTAATTGTTGTCTTGAGATAATATGTTGTATATTCTTTCGCTTGATCTCCACTATATTTTGTTTTAAATGGATTTCCCAAACTAAAATACTTCTAACACTTTTTACCCTGCTGCAAATCACATACTGAATGTAATATACTACCCTCCCAGCACAGATTCATACTGGCAATACTTCTGCGCTTAATGCACTTTTAACATTCTTTGAACTCCTAGAGATTAGTGCATTGACCTTTATTTGTTCATTTGTATGTAATTCATCCTTTTAGCAATTCCCTGAAATCTTACTAATAGAAGTTTCCCTTAGCTGTCCACATATGTATTGCATCCTGCCTGTCTTGGTAGAGTCTTAATTTCCAGAAAGATAAAGCACATTTGAATGATCTTGTCTTCTCTTTTCTCAATGCCTTCTTCTTGCCTTATTTTTATCCTTGTTGATTTTTAGAGAGCTTTGTCTGAAACAGTTATCAATAAATTTAATTGTAATTTCAAATTGATGTATTTGAAATGAATTTTTCTTAACACTTATATAGTTTATGCACAGGCATAAATCTTCTATGCATGACACCCAAGTTTATCCCCTTTAAAATTATTTGTTTCAGCCAGCCTAAATGTGTAGTTTTTACTTGGACTGTATTGAGAACAAATAAATATGAACATTTAATTATTCCTTCAGTAGCAGAATATTTTCTAAATTATGTCAATGTGATATATTAAAACTATTCAGTTTTCAGGAGGACATATTGAAGCTAAATGTGGACTTCTGAGACTTTACATTCTCTAATACCTCAAATCATATTTAATGGTTTGTATATGCACAGAAATTTTGTACATTCACTATGTTTATGAAACATGCCAAGGAATTCATGTTTAGGGCTTATCTTGCTAGAATAGTATTATCTAAAAATGGAAATTATATGACTAATAAAGGAAGTGAGATTGGACACTGTGAATGCTTGTGGCTTGCTCTTAGAGTACACCTCTTCCTTGGAGTACAGGCAAAGAACCATTTTACCTTATGTGTGAAGACAGAAACTTACCTTCTATTTTCATTGAGTAAACATATGGTTACTTCCAGAACTGAGATGTTTTGGGACTAAAGGGCATGGAGCTGGTCCAGTGCATTATTAATAGAAAAAGAAAAAAATTATATCCTTTTTACATTGTCTAAGAAAAATCCAGATAATCTGACATTTGGGAAAAAAATAAAAATAAAGACCTGAACCAGAATGAGAATTAGCTTCTGTTCTTGATTGGAGACATTGTTTCCTTTCCTAAGTTTTATGGAATTTACTAAAGAGTATTCAAAACTATCTCATGTGGTTTGCCCCCTCCAGGCTGACATGGCATCCTTACATAGAATAACAATGACGTGAGCAAGGTGATTATAAAAGGACACATACAAGCTAATCTCTCTTCTCTACAGATGACAGAAATAGAAAGCTTTGAGCTAGAGAGGAAAGGCACACTGTCACTTATATTTCCCTCCCAAAGAAGCTGGGACACATTCTGCTCAGCCAACATGTTCCCAGAGGAATGTGATTTAACTTCCACTTTTCACACAGTAAGAAGCAACACTGTAGACCTGTCGGGAGGGTGATGGCAGCCTGGGAGGAATTTGGATAAGTGTTTTTTGCTCCAGTGTTTTCATGTGACCTGACTCTCATTCTCAATTTAGTTACATCTTGACCTGGAAAATGTGGCCACGGGTTGCCTCTCTTCATTTGGCTTACCTTGATCACTGTGTGCACTCCCTTCGCCCCTTACTCCCACCTCATGCTGCCTCTCTCCCTCTCCCTTGAAACCTACTAATAGAATCTTTTTCTGGAAGTCTCCACATGTATTTACTCTGCTTCCCTATGAAGGGGCTTTACTTCTGGGAGAGAAAGCGCATTTGGGTCCTTGAAATACATAGGAGGAATATCCACCTACAGCAGCCTATGCGGCTCCCTACTGCTTTCCCCAGATCGGACTGTTCATATACCTGGCAGCTGTTTAAGAATCCTGTTGCAGTAAATGAATTAATACTCCCCTCTTCTCCCTAGTTTACCCACCCCCTTCATGAGATGACTGTTTTTATGCATGAGATTATAGACAAGCCTTGGGTGACCTGTTTTTTTTTATTTTTTTCCTCCCCCCTCCTTCTTTTTTCCTTGCGGTAAAATAGTGCTGAAGAAAGAGGGCACTAGTGTACAGCCCAGATCGCATCCGTGCACCGTCTGGATTAGAGCTGAGGCGTCTGCTAACCGAGCGTGGCTGCGGTCCTCCGGTCTGGGGACCACAGCGCTGTGTACCCGGACTCAGGTACGTCTCAAGTCCAAATTCTCCAAGCATACTCAGGTGAGCAGAAACCTCCCGGTGGAGAAACCCACCTCTAGTGGCAGACAATCCCAATCTATGGGATTTTCCTCTTGGTCCCAGGGGCATCCTCGCTTATTTATTTATTTTTTTAGCCTTGCATCCCTGGAAGCGTCGGAATCCATGGATGCCCGGGTTGTCTTCCTCCTTTAGCCCGCCTCACCCCACACGCTTCTGTAGCTCCTTTCTTCTCCGACTCTCACCTTGAGAAAGGAAGCCGAGCAGGGACGAGAGAGGGAGCCAACTTCAGCCCCGCGGGCGGCTGGAATTTGGCGCCTCTGTCCCCAGAAGCGGTCGGGTTTGAATATACTTGCGAGAGAACTGATTGCTAAAGGAAGAGAACGAGGATTGAAGGGTGGTGAGGAGGCGAGGGGAGGTGTGTTTATGTGTGTGCGTGTGTGCCTGGGTGAAGAATGCAGTGATGGTGGGGGGCGGGTTGAAAGAGCGAAGTCTGGGGCGGGGGGTTTGGGCTGTCACAGAATCGTAACTCGTTGGTCAAAGCATCAAGCTCCGGGCTCTGCCTGGGGAATGTCTGGGTACCTGAACCGAGCGCTGTCCAGGGTGCTGAACGCGGCAGGGCTGGGCTTCAGGCTCGAGAGCAACCGGGAAGCTCCGTTCCCTTTCTAGCAACTATGCATAGCCGAAGGTGCCCATTTAGGCGAGTGCAGGGCCCCCTCCGCCCCCCTCCATCCCCCATGGCAGAAAACAGTTTACCTTATGTACACCCTTTCTCCCTGAACATCTACTGTAAGCCTGACTTCTTGGGGGCGGGGGATGTGTACCAAACTCCGACGTGCGGAGACTTTACCAGGCATTGCCTTAGTAACTAATATGGATTTCCTCAAGCTGGCACATTTATATTTACTACTTGTATGGCACGTTAGTGTCTCTTCAACCCCTCATACTAGAGTTAAATGTGCATTACTTGTTGGCGTTCATGTTGAAGTAGCGCTTCACCTTCATAATGAAAGTTTCCAAATTTCTTCTGAAAAAAAAGTTGATCTTTTTAAATCCTGAAAGTTCCCTTAGAGTGAAAAATCTAGCTCATCCTCCGACCACCCCCCTGCCTCCATCTCCCTCAAATCAGTAAGCATAGTAGGTGTTTGAGGACCGGGAAGAGACTTGTGGCTGGAAGAGGGGGCAGGTCGGTGTGGCTCTGCGCCTCTCAGGACAGATGAGGGCACTGGGGACGGAACACATCACTTCTGCCTGGAACAGAGCTGCCTCCCAAGCTGTCCCTCGAGCCGATATCGTGATATAGCTGAAATGAATTGGACCCGGCAACTATTCACATCACTGACCCCTGGGTTTTGACACATGTGATGACGGAGCTTTGATTTTCTTTTTCTCTTGTAGGCAGCGTCCAGCTCACCGCTGCCACACGACGTCCGCTGTAGCCTTGATCAGTTTACCTCGGTGCACAGGTGAAGAAAGGGGACTCGAAGCCTCCTGGAAACGCCTCCTGGGAGTGGAGGTGGTTGTGGAGGATCAGGAGCAGGAGACGGAGGGGAAGGTGTCGGTAGTGCAGGCGGCGAAAACATTTGAAGAGCGGCGCTGGCGAGCGGGACCCAGCCGGGAGAGGCAGGCGTGGGGCGTCCCGCGGTGCGCGCCCCGAGCTGGCAGCCGGGACCAGCGTGGGGACGTGGCTGGTCAGCTGTGGACCGCCTCCCCATCACAATGGTCCGGCTCCTGTTGGTTTTCTTCCCAGCGATCTTTATGGAGATGTCTCTTCTCCCCAGAAGCCCTGGCAGGAAAGTGTTGCTGGCTGGAGCCTCATCTCAGCGCTCGGTGGCCAGAATGGACGGAGATGTCATCATTGGGGCCCTCTTCTCAGTCCACCACCAGCCTCCGGCCGACAAGGTGCCCGAGAGGAAGTGTGGGGAGATCAGGGAGCAGTATGGCATCCAGAGGGTGGAGGCCATGTTCCACACGTTGGATAAGATCAACGCGGACCCGGTCCTCCTGCCCAACATCACCCTGGGCAGTGAGATCCGGGACTCCTGCTGGCACTCCTCCGTGGCTCTGGAGCAGAGCATTGAGTTCATCAGGGACTCTCTGATATCCATTAGAGATGAGAAGGATGGACTCAACCGGTGCGTGCCTGACGGGCAGTCCCTCCCCCCAGGCAGGACTAAGAAGCCCATTGCGGGCGTGATCGGTCCGGGCTCCAGCTCCGTAGCCATTCAAGTGCAGAACCTGCTCCAGCTCTTCGACATCCCCCAGATCGCATATTCCGCCACAAGTATCGACCTGAGTGACAAAACTTTGTACAAATACTTCCTGAGGGTGGTCCCTTCTGACACTTTGCAGGCAAGGGCGATGCTTGATATAGTCAAGCGTTACAATTGGACCTATGTCTCTGCAGTCCACACAGAAGGTAGGCATTGCATTTGGGGAAAAAAGGTACCGAGAAAACCAGAGCGTTGCATGATGTGTGTTTGGGATCATAGTATCTTCCATGATAGTAATTATTATTATTTTTTAACTCTGTGGGGAACAGGTTTTACCCTTCTCTGCACAGGCCCACCCAAACATTGCCCTAATCTGGTATAATTATAATGTAGGAAAACTATACCTCGTCGTGTTTTGGTGGATAGTAGGACCCTGAAAAATGCCAAACTCTGCATGAACAGTGTTCAACCATAGATTTGGGACTCACATGCTGTGAGTCCTCATTTTCTGAGTTTGTGTTTGGAAGTCTTATTTGCCCAAGGTGGCATCACACTCTTAAGCGACTGGCTCCGCTTTTTCAAGCTAAATAGAAAAATCCAATGTGAGCAATTAGACAAAAAAATTCATTGTCCCCTAAATTGGTACTAAATGCTTTATTTTGTCTTGAACAGTATGAGGTGCTTTTTTGTCCTTATGTGCCCCTGCCTATACACGCAAGACTTACCCGTGAATGCTGGATTAATGCAGTCATCTCCCCCAGCATATCAGACACTATATTTTACCTTCTGGGGTCCCTTAGGTATAAAAGAAAGTTAAATAATTTAAATTATTTATTTATTTTCTTCCTACTACATATGTTAAAACTGTTCATGTGTTTTATGAGAAATAACACTGATCACCTCTTGGTTTTGAGTTTTAGTTTGTAGTCTTTTTCTTTTAACACATGGCTGCTCACTGATATTTAAAATTAGACCAATTATAAATTATGAATAAAAAGATAGTAGATATCAGGGTTAAAATGGCTTAAAAAATAAAATAGAATTACCTGAAGTTAAAACTTGGATATTTATAAAGTCCTACAGACATGAATTCTCAAAAACTTATTTATATAAAGATTTTCTTTACTCTCTTCATCTTAGCCTATATCCACTTTTTTTTGATAACATAAAATTTTAGAGTCATCAGCTCTTAACTCTTTTGTTAGGTGTATGAAGAAAATGAGACCATGGTTATATATTAATGTCCCAGACAATTTACCTGTATATGCTGGTATATGAAGGGAATCTTGAGGGTATTGCTGCATTCATATTTCTTAATATAAAAATGTTAAAAGAAAGGCCACCCGCATGACTTCATATTCTTTTAACAGTCATGCAATATTCAGTTGCTAGTGTGAAGTCTGATGATAGAAATTAAGAATCACATCTGCTGAAGTGGTTATGATTATATGGTTATTGTTAATGGAAAATGATGTTTTACTTTATAAAAGGAGCAGAGTTTTTATGACAAACATTTTAAAAAATGTGGAATTATACCTTATAATTTCAGACTTTGCTTTAGAAAAGAAAAAACTTTTTCCTACAACATTGTGACTTCTAACAACTGACTCATGTTTCTGAATCTTGATTTTTAATAGTGAACTGCATACCTCTTTATCAACAAAAATCTCATAACTTTTTCAAGATGCAAATTTAAGTTCAATAATAATCCCTTATATTTTAATGTTTAATGTTAATTTCTTACATTTTAATGTTTAATATAGTTTTCCTCTAGTGCTTAGATAAAACATCTTGAAAGCACAAGTTAAAAATAGTTAATTATCAGCATTAAAGAGATCTCTAAGGGAATGGCAAAATCTAGGTTGAATGTGGTTTAATTAAATATTTAATAATTCTCCCTTCATTGAGCTAGGTAATTGATTATAGGTATTAGAAGTGTAAATCCCTCCTTCAAGAAGAAGTACTACTTCCTCATTTTTATTCAGTAGTTTTATTTTTCATATTTTGTTACAATCTCATTTTTGGGGGGTGAAGAGAGGTTGAGAAAAGGCTCTTCGTTTTTTCAACCTGTTTTCCAATTGCATCACTTTACTAAAAATAATTGCTAATAGTGGATTGCTTTCTGACAACTAGAATGTTTTTGAAAAATTCATTGGACTTGTGTTTGCCAATTCTGTTGAGCAAAGGCACATGCTAAAATTTCACCTTTGCATTAGTTTGGACTTTGTTTCTATTTTGCCTTCTGACTGGTGTTGTGTGGCAGAGATAATGTCTCCATACTATTATAGTAGTTGATTCCAGACTAGATTGTGTTCATAGAACATAGAGATCACTTTGGTGTCTATTTTATAGCCAAGAGGTTATGCCATTTGCATTACCTTTTATATATGATATCTTATTGCTTTTTTTTTTTTTTCTATTTGCAAAGGAGTATCACAGCCTCCTCTGTATAAGCTCCAACTGAAAATTTGTTTTCCCCCAGGCTCTGCCCTCCTGCCTCTCTGGGACTCATGGTAGACTGGCCTGCAGGCACATTCTTGTATCATTTAGTCATTTTCCTGCTTTCAGACTGATGGGGTCCCCTACTGGTGACAGTTCCTTGTCAGAAAACAGCTAAGACCACATATCAGTGTTGTTTCTGCCATTTGGGCTCTATTCAGGAAGGAAGTCAGTTTGTCCGGATATTAGCAATTTAGATCTTAGAAATTCTGGAAACTCCAGTGACCTTCACCTCTCCTTTCCAAATCAGCCATTCTCTAATTTACAAAACCAACCAACCAAACAAACATTGTGAAATTTACCATCACAATTTCTTTTATTAGAGGTTAGCCTAGAACAGTTAATATAAAAAAAACTAAGTGTACACTAGACTAGTGTACTTCATTTCTATGGTTAACTTTGATAGCTTTAAAATCATAGATGGAACACCCTATTCTTTGAATGCCCCAGTTGTTTTCATATCCCTTTATTTCATTTTATGTCCACATTGAACTTAGAGGTATTTTCTGGTTTTGCTTCTTTCACCAGCTAGAATTCAGTTGTCTTTTTTGTGTACTTTTAAATTTTCTATCATGCCATTTGTGCCACACTTGTCCTCTGGTCATGACAACTGTCAGCTGACCTGACATAAAAGTTACCTGCAATAGGCTCTCCAGAAAGTTTTCAGATTGGTTCCTCAGGGGATATTGAAAGAGGATCTGCCATGGGAGGGGGGGAGGGGGGTACTGAAGTAACAGAGTTTTATCCACAAGTAAAAATTCAATGCACTTTGGAGCAAGCTGCTTACCTGGAATGTGTATCTTTAAATATGCTAAACATATATTACAAAAATTGCCTCCTTCTGTGAAGAACGTCTTGGCCAAGGACATTGTATTCCATCCTTCTGGTGAAATGCACATTCCCTATTAAACATCAAATTTATCATTCTGAAAGATTATAAAAATAATACTAAAAAGAATTCTAGTTGATTAAATTCAAGTCCAATAAAATATATCTTTTGAGTTTGTAGCTTCAAAAAAAATTTTTTTTGGATTGGGTACATTTTCATTTATTTTAAGATTTTCTCTCTTCGTATTTAGTCTCATAGTGTCAGATGAGTATTGATGTGATAAGTGATGTTACTTTCCTTTTGAAAATGTCCACTCTAAGGTGCCCCCCTTTTACAATTATGTTTTCATTGTGGTGTACCTCTTTTTGACATTTGCTTATATTTTATATGAAATAGATTTTTGGGGCTTCTTTTCAAAATCCAATCATTTTCTTCTCAAAAGCTTTTTTTTCTATTTGATGTAAAATTTACTTAAAATGTCTAATGGCATCAGAGGAAAATCCTCCCAAGTCATAAATACATCAGTTAACTGTTACTTTAGTTAATGCAATTACATATAAGATTTCTATTTCTAATAAATATATTTCTTATCTATGCACCAGTAACTTTCTTAGCTTGGTTCAAACCCGTTTCTTATCTTAATAAATTGCTGCATTTTATCACAAAATAAGAAATTGGAGTGTCTTGAAAGGTTATTTAGGTCAATCAATTAAAGATGCTTAAAACACCACTATTACATCTTTGCCCAGAAGTTGTTCCCATTTTCTCTAAGTTTCTAAATTGTGATTAGGGTTTCTAATGAGAGGGTGAGAATATAGAACTTAACTTCAGAAGCAGAATTTCACCTATTAGTCAGTTTTACTATAAAATGACCTATCTCTCTGGAAATTTTGACCAATTCTCCATCATCTACTGGGATTCATTCCTCTTCTATGAGATATTTGCATCAATGTACCCTCTCTCTTTTATGCCATGCCTCCCCAGTTCCTTCACCCCTGTATTTCAGTTTTTAGTTTCTTCCTCTTCATAGATAACTCTCTGGACTGCAGGCCAATGCTCTAACTGCCGAGCCAAACCAGCCAGGGCAGATAACTCAAGTAGATCTTAACTCAATGATTATCCAAAAGTTCTTTTAAAAGTATGTGTAGATACTAGGTCATATCTCCTTCTTTTTATGTTTGAGCAATTATTATCATTATTATTATTATCATTATCTAAGAGAAGGACTTTGTTTTTTGTTTCCTTTTAAATATAAACTTATTAGTTTAAATATGCCCATTAGTAAGTTCTGGGATTTTGATTATTTAATTTACCTTAACATTCCAGCTTTGTGTTCTCAGGATTTAGTTATATACATTAAAACTGAGTAAGAGAGGGTCAAGTATATAGTCCCAAACCCATCACCAGCAGACTCCCTGGCTAACTCTGGTGGTCACTCAGCCTTTTATGAATTCCCTTGACAGTGTGATTGTCCATTACACATTGTAGCTCTTTTTATATAAATAAACAAAGTAGTTTAAATGAAGAACTATCATACGAGATATCCAACTCTAAATAAAAATTTGCTATACCAAACAAGGTATATAAGAAATTTAAAAACGTGGTCTCAGTTACTAAGTACTTTATATTCTAAAGGGAATATCGTTTGGACACAGGTAAAACAAGTACAAACACATCATTACAGTCTAGACATTTAAAAACAGGACTTTATATAATTTAGAAAACACTAAAAAATATTGCTGAGCATATTTAGCTAGAAAAAAGGGAATTTTTATTATTGTTTTTGACTATGGCATTTGTAAAAGTTAGAAACTATAGTAAGAATGTCCCCACTGGGGATTAAAAAGGCATGTCTGCTTGGCCAGAGTGGAGAGTGTA